CCCCCCCCCCCCCCCCCCCCCCCCCCCAACATGGCCAGGCTACTTGTTGCAGCACGGCAGACTGTGTGGGTGCTGTCGATTCCACGATTGGCTGTTGCCTCAGCCTGTAGCCCGACCCCGGTCCTCTGGCAAGGTGCCATCGCATCATCGGACCGCAGCGCCTGCAGCAGCTTTGAGCTTGCCCCGCTTTCCATTTGCGCCGTTTTCTTGTCGACTGGCCGCGGGGCATCATAGGCGCATCTCCGCTTGAATTGACCGACCGGCCGACCGACCATCGCCCAGCGAACATCGCCTGTTGCTCCCGCCTCTCCGTGGGTCCGCCAGAGTCTCGCCATCACTCATCCTGCGCCCACGCAAGTCCAGTGTGATATAAGTACCACCTGCCGGTCGTAGGGTCTTCCGATTCGGTTCCCTGTTCCAGAGGTCGCTCCCCTATCTTTGTCCCCCATCACCATCGCTCCACTTGCAAAGCGGAGTCCTTGCTCAGATTGGATCATTGCGCACGTTTCGAGTGGTGCTCGTCTCCTTTGGCCCTCCCTTCCACACGAAACCATGGGTGGCGTCGCTGTCTCCTCCTCGCCCAATGGCGTCTCCGTCGGCGAGACCAAGCTGCTCTCCAAAGCCAATGTCCGACCCATCTTCTTCTGCGCCCTCGCCGTCGTGGGTGCCATCCTCTACGGTTATGACGGCACCTACTTCACCGGTATCCTCGAGATGAACCGCTTCAAGCGCGACTTTGGTGTTCTCAACGACCGCGGCGAATACTACATCCCTTCCAGCGACCAGTCGCTCTACGCCTCGATCGTGCAGGCCGGTGAGGTGGTCGGCTCGCTCGTCGCCGCCCCCCTCGGTGACTACGTCGGTCGCCGCGGCGGTTTCTTCGGCGCCTGCACACTCGTCACCCTCGGTGTTGTCCTCCAGCTCGTCACCATCGGCTCCAAGGCACTTCTCACCCTCGGCCGAGGTGTGCTTGGCGCCGGTGTCGGTGTCATCTCCAACTGCACGCCCCTCTATCTCTCCGAGATCGCACCCACCGCCATCCGTGGTGCCATCGTCTCGTCGTGGCAGCTCATGCTTGCCATCGGCCAGGTGATCGGCGCGTGCATCGCCCAGGGCACCAAGGATATCGATTCCACGTGGTCGTACCGCATCCCCATCATCTTCAACCTCTTCTTCGTTGCCATCCTCGTCGGCGCCCAGTTCATCATCCCCGAGTCGCCCCGTTGGCTCATCCAGAAGAACCGCGACGAAAAGGCACTTGCTGCGCTCAAGCGCGTCAACAAGGGCCAGGACGACGACATTCGCGACAAGGTCATCGCGCTCGAGTACAACTCGTTCCGTCAGGCGCGCCAGGACGAACTTGAGCTCTCGGGCGAGGGCGGCTGGGGCACCCTCTTCCGCGGCGTCGAACTCCGCAAGTTCGTCTGCGTGCTCGGCATCCTCATCGGCCAGCAGATCGGCGGTGTCCAATTCATTTTCTCGTACACCGTCACCTTCATGACCGCGGTCGGTCTCAAGGACGCCTTCATCATCACCATCATCGTCGATGTCATCGAAGTCGTCGGTGTGCTCTGCTCTTTCCTGATCGTCAACCGCTTCGGCCGCCGACCGCTCATTCTGTGGACCTCGGTGCCCATGTTCATCGCCCTCTTCGTCGTCGCAGGCATCGGCACCAAGGGTCTGCCACCCCAGGGCGAGTCCCTTCCCCACCCGGGCGTCATCACCGTCACCCAGGGCCGTACGATCGCCGCCATGATCTGCATCTACGTCTTCTTTTTCAATCTTGCTTGGGGTCCTCTTGCTTGGGTAGTGGCGAGCGAGCTTGCAGTTGGCAAGAACCGCAGCAAGATCATGTCGGTCGGCACGGCATGCTTCTGGGTGATCGCCTGGGCCGTCACTTTCACCCTGCCGTACCTCTTCTACAAGGCCGGTCTTGGCGCTCAGATTGGATGGATCTACGGTGTTGGCACTCTCATTGCCATGACCTTCGTCTACTTTTACATCCCCGAGACGTTCGGTCGCTCGCTTGAGGAGATCAACGAGATGCTCGAGGCCGGTGTGCCCACGCGCAAGTGGACGACGTACATGACGCAGTCGGAGAGGCTCATGATTGACCAGAGCAGGCAGACGGACGACGACTCTGCGGCAAGCACCAACCCAACGGATCTTTCGCCTACTGCGTCGCTCGGCGATGACAAGAAGGGCGTGGACGCCAAGGGTTCGGGTGCCGCTTCGCAGGAGTCGAACCCCACGCGCCTTGGCACTTCCGACGTCGCCTAGTAGGCAACGAGTCGCTAGGAACTCTGAATCCGCATCGACAATGTCTTCCAGCATCCAAGCTTCCATGATAAGCTCGCAATTGTATTCTTAGCATCATTCCGTCTCGCAAGCATGTGTTCGTGTCAAAAATGCTTGGCAGAGTGTGTTGTGTAGGAGCGGCACAGGTGTAAATAGTGCCGACGCGTCTGCGATTTTCTTCCGGCCGCACATGGCGATCTTCTCCGAAAACGTCATGGTTCGGCAAAGTACCCACCAGTCTTCAGGACCAGACTGTTCATCATCCGTTGACGGTAGTTGGATGGGCATTTGTGTGCCGAGTTCTCGAATATGAAGCTCATCTTCTTGACATACTAGCTCACTGCCCGGTCCGTTTCGATGCTCAGCTGTCAAACGGTCTCCAAGAGCATCCGTGGAGAAGAGCTACACCATCTCATAGACAGCATGGCTTTTCCACTACGTCGCCGTGCGCAGTAGGGTGTCAAATGTCTCGCGTTACATGCAATCGGACATTGATGAAGTTCAGTCAGAGTCGGAGTTGAGATCTGCCGCAAAGCTTGCCAGCGACGACTTGAAGGATCTCTGTAGCAGCGAGATTGAGAAGCAAAAATGTCAGTGGGATGGAGGCGGAGTATGGTGTAGATTCGGAGCGGACTTACGCTTCGTGAGGGGCCCTCATCGTCGCTGTCCTCCGCGTCATCTTCTGTCTCGCGGGCGGCAGTCTTCTTGGAGCTTCGTGGAGCTGGAGCGGCGGTTTCGAAGTCGCTCCCATCGGAAGCGTTGCTGGCTTCGTCGTCGCTAATGGCTACGACGGTCGACTTGGTGCGCGACGCTCTGGTGGGTCGGGACCGGTCCGAGCTCATGACTGTGTTTTCCTGGAGGGCGGCGAGCTCGTCTGCGAATTCACGCTCTTCGCGGATCTTGCGTGCTTGCTCGACGGAGCCTTTGCCCGTCATGCCGAGCTCGCGCAGCACGCCCTGGACCACAGTGCACTGGCCGGCAAAGTCAGTCTCGGACACGTCGGCGGCTTCGTACAGCTTCTTCCACTGCCTGCGTACTCCGCACTCGATCACGAGCTTCTTCAGGCGCGCAAGACGCTGCTCTGCTTCGGTTCCGCCAGACGAGCTCGCCTTCGCCTTGCCTTTCGGCGCTTTGGCGGTCGCAGAGGAGGCCTTGCTCTTGGTCGGCTTGGACTTCTTGCGAGAGGTGGAGGCATCGTCTTCGAGCTCGCTGAAGTCGGTCAGCTCGACCTGCGTATCACTCAAGTCCGCATCTTGTCCAGCTTCGCGCGAGGCGGAGGGTTCGGCTTCCTCGCCGTCCGAATCTTCCGAGACCGGATGCTTGCGTTTTGGCGCCGGCTTCGATGGACTCGACGCAGACGATGGACGCGCTTTGGTGGATGAGGCTCGCACGGATGCCTTGGAGGCCTTGGCCGGCGAAGGAGAGTGCGACGTGGACGCGGCCTTCTCTCGCTCGGCAGTGATGCGATTGACCTGATCCTGCGTGGCAGCGCTGATGAACTTTTTCTTGCTCTCGAGGTCGACGCCAAAGTGCTCGTTGAGCATGTTGCGGATGGTGCGCTTCGAGTACTCGCTGTATCATTGCAACCGCCGGTCAGCACAGCAAACTTAGGTGAGGAAGGCGGTGTAAAAAGTACTCACGCTACGGCGCCATTGTCGAAGGCTTCTTCGATGATGACGCGGACCTGCTCGGTGATCTCGGCATCGCTGGGAAGCGACATGGCGGGATGTGCTCGACGTGGAATCGACTGAGGTGGTGAGGAGCGAGCGAGTACCTGTGATGGGTCGCTCGGGACGGGACCAGAGCAGAGGGTTGGTGGTCGAGAAGCAGCTTCGAATCCTGACTGGAAGCGGCACCTCCGACAGCCGAAAGGGTCCAAGCAACACTTCGCGCTCAATCACTCACACCTGCTCCCGATCCGCACAATCCGCACCTCCCACGGATCCATCCGCACGACAGATTGGCCGCTCTGCCGCCACCGCAGTCGAGTCTCTGAGGACATCCGGTCAGCAGAGCTTACGCTGCTCAGCGTGTGAGCTTAAATTAGTCAGAGCCTCCACCGTGAGAAGGAGGAGTCGAGTCGGCTCGTTCCCGATTGCAACTCTGACCCACGCGCACTCTCGACCGTTGGATGGCTGAGTCGCGTCGCGCTGCGCGTGAGCTGTACTAACATTCATTTCCGAATTTTGGCGCGGGCGCAGGGCCCTCAGAGCAACACTCACACGCAACATCCGATCGGCTCCATACCTCCGCTGGTCACGAGCACCATAGATATCGTCTGTGCCTCCAACTCCACGACAACCGTATACCCTTGATCCGCGCTCCGACATCGGCTCGCCTCGCTTCCCTCCGTCGCACCTAAAATCTTCCGCACCCGCACACCACTCGACGTGATCGGCGGAGATCCCGCCTCTCCTTTGCACCCCACCGCGTCGTAGCTTCTTCGGACAGCCTCCGAGGCTCACTCTTTGGAATCCACCGCATCAGAATGTCGAGCGCACGTCCATCCATTGGGTCATCGCGGCCGCCCGTGGTTCCCGCCACACCCGTCGGCCGTTCTATGCGCAAGAAGAACCATCTCAACCTCAGCGCAAAGGCGTTTGACAAGGTCAGTGCTCCCTTCGAACAAGCGTTCGGCCGCTTTGCACCCGCTGACATGCAGCTCTCTATTCATGCATCTTCTGCAGATGTCGAAACGTCTTCTCTCCGTCGAAAAGTCGACAGGTCAATCCGCCATGTCCTCTTGGCGCACCTCGGATCCGAATGAACCATTGGCTGCTGCGTCCGACCGCATCGAGGGCATCCCCGAGCTGGGAGAAGGTGGTCATCGGACAACAGCTTCGTACGTCATTGCCGAGGCCGACGAGAATGCGGCCAACGCGCCCGAAGTCAAGTCCACCACCGAGTACCACCTCCGCCGCTTCGGTAAGGCTCCTGTCTCGCGAGGTCTGACACAAGGCGCCGGCAAAGGTCCCGACGGCGCAGCGCTCGCAGCTGCTGCTGCAAAGTCGCTCAAGGGCAAGGGTGTTGCCCCGGTCGACTCGTTCCTCAACGAAGGCAGCTTCGTCTTCAATCCGCTCAACAGACGAGTACCTCAACCCACTCCGCGAAAGGCAAAGATGCGCCACATCTCGTCCTCTAGCAACGCCGTGTCCTCACGTGCACCCTCCAGCCAGCCACCCCTTTTCTCCGCTACGTCAGCCCAAGAATCTGCGAAGCCTGCAATGCGGCAAGAGTCGCGTCCCGACCAGGCGGCACCCGTCCCCGTCGCCGGAACAAGTTCGGCAGCGGCAGCCACGCCAGCTTCGGAGAACGAGGACCCTTCGTTCGTGCCGCTCACCCTGGTCGACCGCGATCTTCAAGAAGCTCTCATTCTCGAAGACCTCCTCTACGTGCTCCTCGGCATTGAGGGCCAGTACATCACGTACGCCTCCTCCTACGATCCCGAAGACGTGTCCCACCGCCTTCGCGGCGCCCAGTTCATCATCGATCCATCCCTCGATGCCCCGCTCCGCGACCTCGTCGATCGCATCCTCCCCCTCGCCACCGACTACACGGCTATCTACGCTTTCATTGAGACCGACTCCGGCCTAGAATATGGCACCGTAAACCACGCGCTCTGCTCAGCTACCCGCGACCTGCTGCATGACTACGAACTCCTCGTCGTCCAGCTCGAACACCAGATGGCCTCGTCCGCCTCCTTCAGCCTCCAGAGGCTCTTTGTTTGGATCCAAGAGACTGCTCGCACACTCGCTGCTGTGCGTGCACTCACCGACGAGATCGTCGGCATCTCGCACGCCGACCTCTTTGATGAAGAGGACGATGACGATTCGTCCGATGGCGATGGCGCGTCCGACATCAGTGGTACCTCGGCGCTCGAGCGCGAGCGTAGGGCGCTGCTCGGTCTCGACGATCCCGAGGATGAGGGCGTCGAGGGCGGCATCGCCAAGGGAGGCGAGGTGCTGTCCATGCTCTGGGATCGTATCACACGCATGGGCGGCGACCCAAAGGCACATGCGCTCTTCACCACGCTCTTCCAGCGGGCCTCGCAGCCGTACGCAGAGACGCTGGTCAAGTGGATCACTACGGGCGACCTTTCCGACACGTACGAAGAGTTCATGGTCATGGAAGACGCAAAGGTCACACGGGCCGCTCTGGAGTCCGACCCAACCGACGAGTACTGGGAGACGCGCTACACGCTCCGCGACGAGACCACCATCGCGAAGCGAGAACGTCAGCGTCAGCTCGGCCTCGACCTGGATGCCGAGATCGAGGACGAGGAAGAAAACCCGCGAGGCTTCCTCACGGGAGGTGCCAAGATCCCGTCGTTCCTCGAACCATGGAAGCACAAGATCCTCCTGGCCGGCAAGTACCTCAATGTCATTCGCGAGTGCGGTCTCGAGGTGCCCTCCGATCCAGATGTTGCACTCACTGACGCGGCCAGCAGCGAACAGCGAGTTGGCCGGGCGGCGAGGTCCATCGCTGTGGTCATGAACGACGAGTCCTTCTTTCGTCGCATCGAGGCCGCTTACCAGCGAGCCAACTCTGCGCTGCTCAAGCTCTTGCTCGAGGACCAGCACATTCTCGAGCGGCTGCGCTCGCTCAAGCACTTTTTCTTCTTTTCCGAGTCCGACTTCCTCTCGTCGTTCTTGGAGCAGTCCGCTCACGAGCTTGCCAAGAAGGTCTCGCCCACCAAGACCAGAGAGACGGTGCAGCAGCGTCTCCAGACGCACCTTGGTGCCGTGCTGGGATCCAGTAGCACGGTCGGCTTCGAAGACCCGTATCGCGAAGACGTCCGCATCGTGCTTGCGTCCGAGGGCGCGTACGACCAGCTCAAGCGTATCGCCGAGACCAAGGGCGGCATCGAAGCAACCAAGCTTGCGCAGGCAAACGCTGCGGCCGCCGCTGCCGCCGCTGCAGCAGCTGGAAGCTCGGGCAAGGAGACGTTTGTTCCCTCGGTAAGCCTGCTGCAATTCGATGTTGCGGTCAAATTTCCCGTCTCTCTCGTCATCAGCCGCAAGAACATCCTGCGCTACCAGTTCGTCAGCCGCGGCCTGTTCCACCTCAAGACGCTCGAACGCTCGCTGTCCGAGCTGTGGCTTGATCACTCGTCGTCTGCGCTCTGGAAGCAACGCACGCATCCGGCGCTGGAAAAGTGGAAGCAACGCCTCTTCCAGCTGCGCTCGCGCATGACGTTCTTCGTCGAGCAGCTGCTGGCGTTCCAGATGATGGAGGTCGTAGAGCCCAACTACCAGGATCTGGAGCGCAAGCTGCGCAACGTCAAGACAGTCGACCAGCTGATGAAGGACCACTTTGCCTTCCTCAACACCACGCGCAAGGAGCTCATGTTTACCGACCTGCGCTACCTCGAGCTCCACTCGCAGCTGACCACGGTCATCAACGTATTTGTCGAGAACAGGACGCGCTTTCAGGACCAGCTGCTGCTCGAGACGGAGCGGTGGAAGAAAGCGGGCGGCAAGAAGGGTGTCGCCCCAGACCCACCGCTGCAGGAGTCCACGCACGAGTTCTTGGCAAGGGTGCAGAAGCACTGGGAGAGATATGCAAAGACGTACAAGGACGTTGTCAACCTGCTCAGCACCACCGACAACCCCGCCGCACTTCCGCTCGCCTACCGCTTCCAGAGCTCCAATCTGTAGACTGTGAGGAGGAATCGAAAGCAATTCAGCGGCTCTGCTTCGTTTGTGCGGTGATGTAGGCGAGGACGGATTTTTTGTGTGAATATGTGAGATCGACGAGGTGCGGGGAAGTGGAGGCATGACCCGCATAACGCACGTCCCCGACGTTGAAGTGCTATCGTCCTGATCCCAATCATCAAGCCGTGCACGATGTGCCATGTCGGGCACAGCATCACCTTCAACCCACCAGTCGCGGCTTCCGGCTGAGATCCTCGTCGACATTATCGAGCTCGCCATCTTCACGTCGTCTCCCTGCCCGCTGGTGCCTCCGAGCGTCTCGAGGAGCTCTGAAGAGCCGACATCGCCGTTCGATCATCCGCTGCGGGCTGCGTACACGTCAGCATGGGCCTGGACAGGGCATTTGCTCCGCGTATCCAAGCTCTTCTACTCGATCGCGCGGCCATTGCTCCTGCAGACGCTGACGCTCGATACGGACGCGGCCGGTAAAGCGTTCTTCACCGAGCTGGCTGAACGGAACGACCCAATAGAGACGCTCAAAAGGGTGGAGAAGGCCTGGCTCGGGAATCTCTCTGCATTAGAGAGGAACGGCTTGGATGTAGGACCGAGGTCGCTCAAGCTAAGCGAAGCAGCGTGGTACGAGGAATGCCCTGGTGGCTTCGTCGTTGGTCACGCTTATGCTTCGAGGACGAAGCCTACTACAAGGAGAAGCAAGGACCTGGACAGGGGCAGGACAAAGCCGAAGCAGTATCGCAGCGTGAGCGTGTACTGGGCAGAGGAGCAGCTCATCGAAGAGGTCAGCGACCCTGACAGGAGCAGCAGCGATGACGACTCTGCTGAAAGTGACGAAGACGCAGCTTTCGACATGGACGAGATTCCGCAAGGAAGATCCGGCCGTTTTTCCGCTTTGTCTACTCCGGCAGAACCGACTCCCCTGACAGAAGCTAGCAGCAGTAGCGCTCGGCAATGCTCTCAGGGTGCAGGGTCTGTAGGCGACCCGCGGATCGACAGGCCGCACGAACCCGCATGGCAGACCCTGTACTCGCGCCAGCGTCGTCTTTCCCCGGTGCATTCGCGAGGTCAGCCCGGTCCACTAGCAGCATCGCTTCCGTCGGCTCGGATACCACAACCCCTGATGGCTGCGACCGCAGCCGGGCCATCAGAAGACGATCTCGATCCATGGGATATGCAAGATGCCCAAGAGCGCTTAGCAGCTCTCGCAACTCAGCCTGTCGACTCCAGTGCATTGCACCCAGTGGCTGCAGATGCTCCTCTAGGCGCCGCTACCCAATCATCCCCGGAGATCTCGACGACAGAGGACATTGCCGCTTCGACGCTAGCATGGTGCCAAGCCTCGTTGCAGAAACAGCGGCGCGGGCGCGAGATCTATGCGTACCACGTGTGTACAGCGACGCTAGAATCATGGATCACGCCGTTGTTCGCCTCGCTGCGCTCTCTGCGACTCATCACACTGAGCTTCTACCCGGGCCACATTTTGGACGACGACAAGCTCGAACATATGCTGCGGCGCATCCTGGCGGAGAACGCGAAGCTCGAGAGGTTGCTCATCCGAATCGTGCTCGATGCAGCCAGTGCAGGAAGCAGGATGCGCCGCTTCGAGCGTACCAAGACCATCGCGGGCGCGGCAGACAGGATTGGCGACGAAAGAATACGCGTCATGCTCCTCAATCCCAAAGTCGGAGAGGGCGAACTTGTCGCTCTACCAGAACATAGACCCGAGGAGCGCGTGGGGACATTGGATCCACTCAGTAGAAAGGCAGTCACGCTGACCAAGGAGGCATGGTGGTCGAGAGTGCTGCAGCAGAATCACTGCGAGCGGGAGGTTGAAGATGTCCGATGCCTCGAGGACGATGCTATGAGGCTGGAAAAGGACAGAGAGATGCGGGAGAGGAGACTCTGGAACTGGAAGATGTTCTTCCCTCCGCACCAGCATGGCAACCCGACCCACCTGGTCAACCTCATCCACCACGCCGATTCGTGGCCCGACCATCCCCATCCGCTCCCCTAATTCCCGAACTACTTCCCAGAAGTCACGCTGATTGCCGCAACCATGCCGTAGATCTGCCCCTTGACACTAATTTCCCACGCCTTGTCAATTCTTGGCGGCTATCGAAGCGAGTTGCTGGCTGATGAAGCGATTGTTGGAGCCAAGTCCGGACTTCGGACGATGCTGTACCGATGGAGATGGATCCGATCTGAACGCCGGCAATCCCTTCAGTGCGACCTCGGAGATCTTTGGAGCCGCTTCTTCGCGCCCAAAGAAGTAAGATCGAAAGTGCTTTGCGACATTAAGGTTCGACGGGGGGCAAGGGGCGGCTCGGTAAGATGTGGGCGTCTGCGATCGACGGCTGCAACGACGGCAGGGTCCGGCGGCACCCATATGCATTTGCGGGGGGTTTCATGCCGAGAAGCGGCCGTCCGAGGTTTGGGTTCAGCGAAGCGAGTTGCGCGCTCGCAAAAGATTGCCGGCGCTAAATTTGGTGACGCGTTGCAGAGCCAGCAGAAGATGGTGTCGGCAATCAGAACCCTTCAGCTCCATGCACGCGAACGTTAGCGTGCTCCACCGTGCGGAAACACGGCGCCGGATATCTCTACGGACATCTCGGTCGCGCATACTTTGTTGCAAAAGTGTTTCGGCCGCAGGCTGGTCGTCCGCCGGGAAAAGGTCGCCAGTCCGGGGGAAATTGCGGAGCTTGCTGTCATGCAGAAGCGCGGAGGTCTCAGCCCACCTGTCAGGTAGCGAAGGAACGCGTTCGCGGTACCCCATGGGGCACCGCAGCATCGATACCCCGCAATCTCCTCATGAATTGCCTATATAACAGCTTCATGCCACAGCTACTTGAAGGTCTCGCTCATCAAGCCCAAGGCAACGCTCTCTCCTACAGTCTCCCTCGCTCCTGCCTACACTTCTAACCTCCTTCGAGCGAATAGATACCCAACATGGTGTTCAACAAAGCGGCTCTTCTTTCTGCACTCAGTCTGGCAGCCGCTGTCCAGGCGGCACCCGCGGCGTCCGTTGGACTGCCTTGCGACCTCTACGCTTCGGGCAATACGCCCTGCGTGGCGGCACACAGCACTACGCGCTCGCTGTACTCGGCCTACAACGGTCCTCTCTACTCGGTCGTTCGTGCTTCGGACTCGCACACTACCAACATTGGCGTCCTCTCTACTGGAGGCGTTGCCAATGCTGCCACCCAGGACTCCTTCTGTGCCGGCACCACCTGCAAGATCAAGGTCATCTACGACCAGTCTGGCCGCGGTAACCACCTGAGCCTCGCGCCCCCTGGCGGTGCCGCGGGTGCAGACGTTCTCGCCGACGCTGCCGCTGCGCCCATCACTGTCTCGGGCCACAAGGTTTATGGTGTCTACATTGCCCCAGGCATGGGCTACCGCAATGACCAGACTAACGGCGTCGCTACCGGCAACCAGGCTGAAGGAATGTATGCTGTCCTGGACGGATCGCATTATAACGACCAATGCTGTTTCGACTACGGTAATGCTGAGACGAGCAACACTGACACGGGCAATACGCATATGGAGGCCATCTACTTTGGTGACAACACCTACTGGGGCTCTGGCGCTGGTCCTGGGCCATGGGTGATGGCCGATCTCGAGAACGGCCTCTTCTCGGGCTACAATGCCAAGCAGAACACGGGCGATCCGACCATCTCGTCGCGCTTCGTCACGGCCATCGTCAAGGGCGACTCGAGCAATCTCTGGGCTCTCAAGAGCGGCAACGCGCAGTCGGGCGGTCTGACTACCGGATACTCCGGTCAGCGACCGGCAGGATACTATCCGATGAACAAGGAGGGCGCCATCATCCTCGGTATCGGTGGAGACAACAGCAACAGCGCTCAGGGAACCTTCTACGAGGGTGTCATGACCTCGGGCTATCCCTCCGACGCAACTGAAAACGCTGTCCAGGCCAACATCGTCGCCGCACGATACCAGGCCTAAAATTTCCGACCCCATTCAGAGCACCTCGAGTGAACCTTGTTCATTCATCTGCTCCTTATTCTTACGTCCGAGAAATGGGAAGTCAAGGTCCGAATCGATGATGATTGTGTGCTCGTGCGTGCTCCTCACAAGCCCGAGTGCTCATCACACAGTTACGACAGGGGCGTCACTCTTGGCATAAGCTGGCCATACCAGCACGAACAAGTTTCACATAGCAGAGCATCCCCACGATTCACTGAGCCACACCGAGATCTCAATCGGCCACCCGCGAACAGATACATCTTTCCGAAATCGCCTCTTTGTCTCTGCAGGCTGCTCGCAACATCTGACGTACACACTCGCTACTGCTATGTTGGTCGCCGTTAATGCATCAATTTCACATAACGGGGCGACAGACTGTGCGACGCCAAAAGTTATCGAGCGAACTTGCAATGGGTTGGATTACAAAAAAACTAAGCGAAGGGGTTGCGGGAGGGCATACCGAAGCCGGCGAGGAACGCTGCGCCGCCACCGGCCTTGGAAGCCGCGCCGCCCTTGATCGGGCTGAGTTCGAGCGGGATGTCAAAGTTAGGTGCGAGGCCAGCGTCGTTAGCCGCCGCGCCCCACTGCATGGCGCCGCCGCCACCCAGCAGCTTGCGCTTCTTCTTCTTGACCTGGCCCTCGTCGGCTGCGGGCGCCACGAGCTTGCTCGGCTTTGCGGGCTTGGACGTGGCCTTTGGCAGCGCCAAGTTGGTGCGGTCGCGGCCGAACTTTGCGCCCAGCACACTCGAGTCTGCACGCTCGTCGTCGCTGTCGTCATCAACGGTGCGCTTGTTCGAACGGATGATGGGCGTTGCCGACGGATCCGCAGTCTGGTCGTCGTACTCTATCGGCATGGCCAGCTTGTTCTTGCGTACCACAGCGGGCTTGCTGCGCGTGCCGCTGGATCCAGTCGCACTCTTCTTGCCTGCGGATGCGCTGCTCTTCTTCTTGCTAGCCTTGGCCTTGGCTCGCTCGTCCTCCGAGTCTTGCTCGCTGTCGGTGTCGTCGCGGGCACCGCGACCGCGGCGACGCTGCCTGTTGTCGTCCGAGTCCTCCTCCGACGAGTCGGTGATTGCGACCTCATCGCGCCAGCTCTTGCTCGAGCTCGACTTGCCGTTTGTTGCGGCCTTGGCTGGCTTGACGCTCTTCTTTGCCAGAGCTGCCTTGGTCGAGCTGGTAGCAGAGATCTTGGCGAAGGGCACGAGCGGAGATGAGGACTTGGCGCCCTTGGGCTTGCGCGTGGCGGCTGTTGCGACGACGTGTCGGTCGACCTCGTCTTCCGAGGGCGGGCCGAGCTCCGAGGCGCCTTGCATGGGTTGACGATCGCGCTTCTTGGCGTAGACGGGCGAGGAAGGCGGAAGCTCCTGCGCAGCTGCAATGAGCTTGGACACCTTTGGCTGTGGCGCTTGTGCAGCAAGCTTGGACTTGGCGGCCGGCGCCGGTGCGGCATTGAGCTCTTCGATCTGCGCGAGCAGCAGTTTGCGCTCCGACTTCCAAGCCTTGCGCGTCTCGGTCATCATGTCGTCGCGCTTCTGGAGCTCCACGATCTCGGCTTGCGCCTCTGCGAGCTCTTTGCGAAGCGACTTGGCCTCTCCGCCTGCCTCTGCATCGTTTGCGCGCGACTGACGGGCCTCTTCGAGCAGCTCGGCGAGCTTTTCGTTTTCGGCCTGCAGCTCGAGCGAGGCGGCCGACTTGGCGGCGAGCTTCTTTTTGAGACGTGCCTCGTCGCGGAGTGCGGCCCGAACATGAAGCGAGAGCAGATCGGCACGCTTGCGCTCGAGCATGAGGCGGATGCGCAGCTCGTCCATCTGGCCCCTGAGGTCGGCGTCGGCGGCATGGTAGCGGCCCTCGTGATAGGTGGCTTCGTTTTTGGCATGCTGGAGTGCGACGTCGATCAGGCAGGCTTGGCGACGCTGTCCGAGCAACTTCCACGCGCGGTCGTCGGCCTCGATCTTGTACTGGTGAAGGCGCACCTGGAGCTCGGCACGCGTCCTGGACTCGCGCGTGATGGCAGCCTGGTGTGTGCTCTTGGTCGATGCGAGCTGTCCCTGCAGACCGGTGCACTCTGAAGCCCAGCCCTCGGACTCTTCCTTTGCTGCGGTGAGCGCGTCCTGGGTGGCGTCGAGCTCGCGGAGTAGTGCGGCGTGCTTCTTGCGGAGCTCGCCGAGCTCCATGGTCTGGATCCGATCCGCACGAGCAGAAGGGTCGAAGCGGTGATTGGAAGCAATGGACGAGTCGGCGAGGACAGACTGGCGAGCGGATGTCGAGGACGAGGCTGTTTGACCGCTGGAGAGTGAGGAAAGGTGGGAGAGTTTGTGACTGGAGACGCTGGGGCTGGCATGCGGACTGAGGCGGGGGGTGGCGGCTGCTTTGACGCGACTGAAGAGTGGAGTGGACTCGATAGGAGCTGGTGCTGGGGCAGGTGCGGTACCAGCGGCGGTAGCGGAACGGACGCGCGCCAGATGGGATCCGCGCGCAGTGGTGTCTCCTGAGGACTCTGCTTCGTCCTCGTCGTCCGGCTGTTGCTGAGCCGGGAGAGGACGAGATTCCCTCCGCGGGTTCGCGCGGGACGCTCGGTTGAAAGGGTCGAGTTCGCTGTCAAGATACTTGTCGAAGTCGTAGGCTGTGCCCACGGCTGCATTCGCCGCACCGATGGGCTGGTCTTGACCGTTTCGACGATTGGTTGTTCCAAAGATGGAAGCCTGCGAGGCGCTCGAGGTGTCGACAGCCGCGTTTGCCGGTGGTGCTGTCTCCGAGCGGGACGGTTGCGATGCAGAGATCGACGTGACTGGCCGGTCAAGGCTAGGAAGGCGAGGGACATCGACTTGAATGTCGGCATGGACAGGGTCGACGGCAGCATCGCGTTGGCCTGGGATGAGCTGTGCTGTGGAGTCGCCGCTTTCGTCGGCGAGAAGAGGGCTGGTACCCTTGCGGGCGGCACTGGCTGCTTGTCGGGCGGCCTTGGCTTGGGAGACGGCGATAGGAGTCTCGTCGCCGGCCATCTGACGGGCGCGTTGGATGGCGCCGTTGGTGAGCGAGCTACGCGCCCCGCGCGCGCGGTGTGCAGGGTCCTGCTCGTCGTCGTCGCTGTGCAGCATTTGGGGACGCGAAACAGGGCGCGGAAGCGAGCTGGGGACCATGTTGGAGGTATTGGCCGGGAAGGAGGCGGAGAAGGCTGCTCGATCGGCGGGGCGAGAGGCAGAGCGACGTTCCTGCGACGCGGCGGCCATCTGATTGAGGCTCGGGAAGCTAGAGGCTGGTGCAGCGGCGTGCACCGGAGTAGCTGGCTCGACAACGGAGGCGGCGGATGACCTGGCGGAAGGGAGCTTGCCGATCTTCCTTGGCTGGGTAGCGTGAGACGAGAAGGATGAGAACGAGGCGTCTAGGGCCGCCGACGCGTCTTTGCGTGGGGACCTACGCACTGGTGGTGGTGACCTGGATACGACCATGATTGTGGCGATGTGATAGCTCCGGGGCTAATGTATGGATTGGCTAGATTGCGATAGATTATCGATAGGGTCCAAGTGGCTCCAGATGGGGTGGTATCAACGGCAGGATGGTTCCGAGTGGGATCAGGGGCACAGCGGCAGGCGAAAGCTGTGGTCGTGGTGGGTGCTATGGCGGGGTATAACCTGGGTATCGATGGGGATGGTGAGGGGCAAGACGATGAATGGCGACGTGGAGGAAGGACCGGAGGCGAGCAACAGGACGACGCGACAGGCAGTGCGCTCCACAGACCGAGCTGGCTGTACAGCGCGATGGCACAGGGCTCTGTGCTGAGTGTTGCTTCTGTGTGTTGTGGTGCTCGCCCGCTGGAGCCCAGTACACAAGGCAAGGCAGCGCGTCTTCTTTCTTCCCCTTTTCAACCCACCTTTTTCGACCGAATTTCGGGCTGCCATTTTTTATCATTTTGGATCTCTCGAAAGCACCACAACGCGGTCTGCATTTTCGCCTCCTCCTTTTGGTGTTTGACTCAGCAGGACGCGCTGAGGAGCAACACCGTCACGTGAGGGTATAGTCCGATGACGAGATCTACATGAAATCGAGCCCGATGCGCGACCACACTGACTCGACTCTTTCGAGCAGCGGAGTCAGACACTCGAGCCATGGGCGGGTGGCATGCAGATGCTAAAATTTCGCCGGAGGCTGCGCGAAGAAAAGATGGAGGGGCTCCTCCGCTCCGCAGTGCAACCTATCCGGAAGACATCCATCACTCACTAGCCTTCCTCCCTCCCCCCTAGGCACACCCTCTCACTGCCACCAACTCGTCTCACAGCACCTCGCTGCGCACCGGCGCCCTCATTGGCATCATTTCTGCATTCGCTCTTCGCCGCCTGCCAGCCACCCTCGTCCGCTCGCCGCTCCTCTCCACCCGTCCTGGTGTCCTTCGAGCCGCTCCGATCCGCTCGCACCTCGACTCTCTTCCACACACCAGGCAGCACTACCCATCTGCTTCCCCTTCCCCCTTCTCCACATCAGCCATGTCTTCCGCCGATATCGCCCTTGTGCCCTCGCCGGCCTCCTTCAACGGTGCTCCGTTCCTCTCGGAGCTGCCGCAGCTCCCGTCCGTCCCGGGCGTAGACACCAAGCGTGCGCCTCTCGACAACTTCCGTCTCGCCATCGCAAAGCACGTCTCCGAATCTCTCGGCGTCGATGTCAATGCCGCATTCGCCGCTGTCGGCACCGGCAAGATCGGCGACTACACCGTCGCCGTGCCCCGTTTCAAGTTGCCGGGCAAGCCCATCGAGATCTGCGAAAAGGCGGCCGCTGCCTTCCAGCCCAACGAGTTCCTCAGCAAGATCGAGGTCAAGGCTCCATTCCTCCACTACTTCCTCAACGACAAGACGCTCATCAAGCTCACCCTCCAGACCGTCCACGTCATGACCCACGGTTTCGGCGCCCCCCGCGACGACGCCGGCAACGCCCAGCCAAGCTACGGTACCAACCGTGACGGCGAGGGCAAGAACATCATCGTCGAGTTCTCCTCGCCCAACATTGCAAAGCCCTTCCATGCCGGCCACCTCCGATCCACCATCATCGGCGCCTTCCTCTCCAACCTGTACAAGGCAAACGCATGGAACGTGTCAAAGTACAACTACCTCGGCGACTGGGGCAAGCAGTTCGGTCTGCTTGCCGTCGGCTGGAAGCTCTTTGGTGACGAGCAGCGCCTGCAGGACGACGCGGTCAACACGCTCTTTGACGTCTACGTGCGTGTCAACCAGCTCGCCAGCGTCGAGGAGGACGGCAAGGGCGAAAAGATCCACGAGGAGGCCCGACGATACTTCAAGGGCATGGAGGACGGCGACGCAGAGTGCCTCGCGCTCTGGCAAAAGTTCCGAGACCTCTCGATCAAAAAGTACATCGAGGTCTACGAGCGTCTCAACATCCACTTTGACGTCTACTCGGGCGAGTCGCAGGTCAAGAAGGAGAACCTCGAAAAGTCGCTCGAGCAGCTGCGCAAGGCCGACTTTGTTTCCAAGGAGGACAACGGTGCAACGCTCGCCGATCTCACAAAGTACAAGCTCGAAAAGTGCGTCATCGAGCGACGAGACGGCACGCCGCTCTACATCACGCGAGACATTGCCGAGGCGGCGCAGCGCTTCGACAACAGCTTCAACGGCAACGGCTTCGACAAGATGATCTACGTGGTCGCCTCGCAGCAGGACCTGCATCTGGCGCAGTTCTTCAAGGTGCTCGAGCTCATGGGCTATCCGTGGGCGCAGAAGGAGACCTCGCGTCTGCTCCACATCAACTTTGGCATGATCCTCGGCATGTCCACCCGAAAGGGCACCGTGGTCTTCCTCGACAACATCCTCGACGAGACGCGAGACAAGATGCACGAGGTAATGCGCGCCAACGAGGCCAAGTATGCGCAGATCGAGGACCCGATGCGCACGGCCGACATTGTCGGAATGACGGCGGTCAAGATCCAGGACATGAGCTCCAAGCGCATCAACAACTACAACTTTGACTGGTCGCGAATGCTGTCGTTCGAGGGTGACACGGGTCCGTACCTGCAGTACAACCACGTGCGATTGTGCTCGGTTGAGCGCAAGGCCAAGGAGTCGGATGGCCTGGAGCTGCCCACCGCCGACCTGGACCTGGCGTCGATCAACCTCGAGCTCATTTCGGAGCCCAAGGCTCGTGATCTGGTCATGCTCATTGCACAGTGGCCCGACACGGTCCGAGCGGCCATGAAGGACCACCAGCCCTCGACGATTGTCACGTACGCCTTCCGTCTGACCCACCTCATCTCCTCCTGCTGGGAGTTCCTCCTTGTCAAGGGCCAGGAGCGGGACCTTGCCCTCGCCCGTCTCTTTGTCTTCCGATGCTGCAAGGACGTCCTTGGCTCCGCCCTTCGACTCCTCACCATCACCCCGCTCGAACGCATGTAGATTCAGACGTCTCGGGACAGTTTCGCATTTTCACTCTGCATTCGCTTCGATTCCTTTCGCGGCCGTGTGAAGAGGTTCGTGATTTGGTGATTTCGACCGGATGAGCCGATGCGAATGTGCGGAAGTGCAGCGACCTTATGTCAAGGAGAGTCTCCTCTCGAGGCCGCATGTGGCAGAGGTAAGAGATCCGCAAGGCGCGCATCGAGGGCTACCAGTCTGGCCCAGCGCGTTTGGATGGTCGGATCTGCGAGCGAGACGCACTGCATCAGATCGGTCAGACACTCCTCTAGCCTGGGCCAGTCGGCTCTGTTCGACGAGGAGCGCAGGGGCGACTCGAGTGCGCTGATCCAGCACTTGGCCACAGCGGACAGGATCAGCGACGTATTGCGGCCTACATTTGACGTTGCTGTCTTGCGCAGTGCCAGCTGTCGGTCTGCATCGTCTTTGCTTTCACCCGCACCGGCCGATCCGGGGAGGAGCAACCGCGTGGCCAGACGCACGACCTTGACTGTGGTGTTGACGTGCTCCGTATGGTCAAAAGCAACTGTGGACAACCAAGTGCGGAAGATCCAATCGATGCTCACGTCGACGAACCTCGCGGCTGCACCAACGCTCGCTATTTGTGCGGTCGGGGGCGGCGACAAATCCTCGATCAGCGTCAGATAGGCTATGCATGTGGTTGCGACGAGTTCGCGTCCAAGCCGCGTGCCCGAAGGCGGTAGCGGCAGATACGACCATGTCGACAAGATTCCCTGCGACACAAGCCGGCAAAGCGCCTCCATCCTGCGCTTACCACAGTCATCCACCGCACCCATCTTCTCGTCCGGCCCAGCATCTGGCCCCGGACTTTCCGCGCCCGGCGCGTGAAAGGGTGACTGCATCGGGTCGCGCCATACGATCGGATGGGTGGTGAGCAGGATGAGTCTGCGGAGCGCACCGATGGAGAAGCGGACCAGAGCTGGCGCATATGTGGCGTCGTGCACGTAGGTCAGATTTACCTGCAGAGCGCGCTCCAGTAGGCTCCCAATTCCTGTCCGCATTAACAGGCCGCCCAGGATCGCCTCGCGTCTGCGTGTGCGCAACGAGTCTCGCACCGCGTCCGCATCTGTGTCGGAACCAGATGCATCTGCAACACCACTCGGACGTGCAAGCAGCTGGTGTGTGAGCATGCTCCCACGCAGTCGGAACCGGGGCTGCGCATGCTCCAACAGCGTCAGCAGCGGCGGCACCAGCAGCGGCCATGCACCGTTCCAGTCCGACTCGGTCTCGAGCTCGAGATGATCCAGACACCATACGAGCACATTGACGCATCCCAGTGCCTCGTTCCGCTCGCTCAACGCAGGCTGTTCATCAGCTGCTACGTCAGCCGAGTCAAGGGAGAGCGCGAACTGGTGCGGTGCGAGATTCGAGGCTTCGTTGTCATCTGCCGCACTCGAGAAGCGATGTTGCCCGAGGTTGCGATCGAGATACGAGACGAGCGACGCTCCCGTAGCCGGTGCCTTCTTCCTGCCTGTTTTTGGATCCACAGAGCTGGGGGAAGCGCTCGATGACTTGCTAGTCTCTTTGACGATCGGCTTGATGTAGTCTGCCAGGAGCGATGTGGCCACCGCCGAGGTCGTCAGCGATGCGGCCGGAAGAACCTCGTTCCCCAGACGACCGAGGATGCGATGTGCCTCGATCTTGCTTTCTCGTCCGATCCAGCCGTCGTCAATTTCCTGGATTCCTTCAATGAAGCTCGTGGTGTCCGGGTCCGGGAACGGACTGATGTGCGACGGAGGGAGAAAGCGGGCCAGCGTGCAGACAACATGGCCAAGGACAAGATCAAGCTGCGTGCTACCTTTCGATCCTCCTGATGATGAATTAAGATCTACAGAGACGAGCTGTTCCAGGAGTCTTGATAGTTGATGTAGCAACGTAGGAACCTGCTGCTGCTTCCATCGAAGCAGGGCCGGGTAGTCACTTTCGGACAGGGTCCACGCTTGACCGTCTCCACGTCCAAAGACGGCTGGAATGCAAAGCTGACGAGAGATTCTGAGAAGCTGATCTGTGATGCTGTCGATTCCATCTTTATTGTGTTGTGGTCCACGCGGTGGTAGGGCAGCGAGGCCAAACTGATATAAGCACCGCTCTGCAGCAGGAGCGAGAGCAGGTCGCGAGGATGCCTGTCTCGACAAGCCGGCGAGTCCAGTCGAGTCCGGAAAGACCGTGGGATTTGGCAGGTTCACCATGGCATCGTCAGGCGCGGTTTTGGAGCCTCGCCGAGGTGGCAAGAATCAAGGTGAGGTGGTCGAATGCGAGAGAGGTCAACAGCGAGGGTGCTGGAAAGGGTGCTTCTGAACCCACCCCGAAATCCGAGTTCCGAGATTTAGTCAGCTTGAAAGCCGCTTTTTCTTCCGCTGTTGCCTTCCGCACTTGAACTCGACTCATCATCATCATCCTATTCTCCTCCCGGCTCCGTACCGCACATCCGAACAATACGCATACACAATGTCGATTGCAGCAGCATCCCTCAAGCACATCACGGCGATGTCGTTCGAATTCGCCCCGCTCAGTGCGTCGCAGGCATCGAGGTCGATGCGCCTGCTGCTCGCGCGCCTGCCCACCAAGCCTCCCATGCCCGGCATGGACCTGCCGGACATCTCCACCAAGACCGTCCCCACAGACGCACTCCAGAGGGTCGAGATCACCTACAAGAACAAGCAAAAGCTCGTGCTCGACCACCAGGCCGCAGAGGCCCGCCTCACAGACCTCGTCAAGAAGGTACGCCTCGCCACAGCACATCGACCCCTTTTGAGACGGTTGACTGAACCGCTGACATACCTTCCTTTTGCCTTCTTGATTCTCAGATTGAGGAGCCAGCACGAGCCTTGCGTCTCAAGGAGGAGGGTCTCTGATCGCGCCCTCCTTCTACCCAGACCATCGCCACAGATGCGAATCTCATGTACTTGTATCCGACCTCGAAAAACTTAGAATGCCTTTCAAACATACTGTCTCTATTTCTCGCCACACGTCGGAATCTAGCCCGACAAAGACATGCGAACGACATGGGATTCGTCGGAAAAAGTGCAGGTACAAATACAAAAGCACGAAAGCACGAACAGGACTAGGCACGGAGCATTTTGGCAGGACGTTCTTCGCCAAATTCGGGGATTTGCGCGAGCTGGCTGTGTTTGCCCTGGAAGAGCGGGTTTGCCATCTGCTGTGGAAGATGGAAGGCGTCCGAGAGCGAGGTGAAGGAGCGCAGAGCGAGCGTGCATAGGTGCTGGACGCGTGTGCGGAAGGATTCGGACGAAGCGAGGATCACGAGATTCTGCACATCGACAACGGCCTCTGTATCGTCGAGGAAGACACGCAGCGCCGGACGCGACTCGCCGTCGAATAGAGAGGCAATGTGGATGGGCGGCAGCGAGGGCTGCACCTCGTCCTGCTCTGCAGAGTTGCGCTCGGCTTGTTCGGCCGGCTCTGCGGATGCACTGGCATCGGCCGCATCCGACGTGTCCTCGGTCTTGACCGGAACGGCCTCGTCCGCATTCTCTTTGACTGACTCTGCCTGGATGGGCGCATTCGGTCCGGCCGGCACTTCTTCGGCATCGGCGCTATCTGGTAGCTCCGGGATGACGAGTTCTTCCACTTGGCCAAAGTGCGCCTCGAGGAACGCGGCCATGTGCTCCATCTTTGCCAGCTGGTAGGCATCGTGTCGCGCAGTCTCATCGGATGCCGCCTTTGCAGCCCCAGCACTGCTTCCTGCGAGCAGCGCCGCCTCGGAGAAAGGATGAGGCGGCACAATGTCTGCGCCCTCGGGAGGTGTGAGTGCCTCCTCTTCCTCGGCGCCGTCCATCTCTTGATCGGCATCCTCCGCAGCCGGCTTGGCGTCCTCGCCGTGGTGATGCGAGTGATCGTGACTGTGCATGGTCATCTTGACGCTCGAGGGCGCACTGTCGATGCCGAGCAGCAGCGCGACGATGCTGTCGGCCACCATGTCGTTGGCGATGCTGCTGCCCCACTCGACGAGCAGCTCGTGGCGCGCGCTCTGGCGCACATCCACCACGCCCATGATGCGCAGCGTGCGCAGACCCTCTTCGGCGTCGATGCCCTCCTGGAGGCGACCGTACATTCCCTGCAGATGCCAGCGCACCATGTCCCAGCTCACGGCGAGCGCCACGCGCTGACGCTGCACGATGGTGCTCGTAGACAGACCTGTAAAGTCGGTGAGGTCCTTGGGGTCGAGAATCGTGTAAGCAAAGTCCTTGCTGATGAGCAAGCCGTCGACCGTGTCACCCTGTGCCGGCAGTTTGGCTGCAATCGTACCGATCGCTTTGGCAGTGCGCTGTGCGCGGAACTGGAGCGTGAGTGGCTCACAGTTGCGGGGTGTGTGGATCTTGACGTCGGAGCCGCGTGCGGTGAAGCGCGCCTGGAGCGCTGCGCGCAGCTTGGACATGTTGTTCTGCTCGCCGTGCACAAGCACAATGTGCTGCGCCTTGATCTCGTCGATGAAGCGCGAGTTCTGTGCAAAGTCGACGTGAGCGGAAAAAGAGATGTAGTCGACCGACATGCGGCGTGGAATCTTGATGCCGTTCATGCCGATGATCTCGTCGGGCTCGTTGAGGATGTTGCGCGCCATGGTACCCTCGACCGAGTATCCGGAGACGATGAGGCCGTTGCGCTTGTCCGGAGCCCACCTTTCGAGAAGCTCGCGCGAGACGCCGGACTGCATGAAACCGGGCGAGGCCATCATGACGCACGGACCGCGGTCCTCGAACTTTTCGAGCGAACGAAGGTTGGAGATATGCTTGAAGACGAACGGATTGTCTCGACGGTTGAAGCGCGTGCGGATGTGGTCGTTCATGGTGTGGATGTAGGTCTGATACACCGAGATGCACTTCTTGGCAAGCGCCGAAGCGTAGTAGATGGGTACGCTATGCAGTTCCGGATGGGCAGCCCAGTACTCGTCGAGCAGAAGCAGCAGCTCCTGAGCTCTGCCCAGCACAAAGACCGGGAGGAGGACGCGGCCGCCACGCTTGATGATGTGATGGATCTGGGAGGTGAAGCGATGCTCCTTGTCGAGACGCGGCTCGTGGGTCTGTGTGCCGTAGGTGGATTCGCAGATGAGGACGTCGGGTCTGACGGGAGGGATCTCGGCCTGTACGAGGTGACGATCCTCCTCACGACTGAAGTCACCGGTGTAGAGGATTCGGAGGCCGGCGATCTCGATGAGGAACATGCAGGCGCCGAGGACGTGGCCTGCATGATACGAGGTGAAGCGCAGACCACCTGCGATGGAGACGTCCTGGTGGAAGTCGACGGCCTCGATCTGGCGCCAGGATGCGAGCATCTCGTTTTCGTCAAAGAGATTGTCGTCGTTGCCGGCGTTGCTGATGCGGACGAAATCGGACATGAGGAAGCGGTATACGGCCTTGGTCGGGTGGGTCATGTACACCTTGCCGTGACCGTCGCGGAAGTTTGTCTTTTCCATGATGTAGGTGAGGGCGGCGGCATGGTCGAGGTGGAAGTGGGTGATGAGGATGGCGTCGACGGTGGACCAGTCGAGCTCGTCGATGAAGGGCAGTGCGGCAATACCTGTGAACGCGGGATGAACACCGGTGTCGCAGACGATGGTCTTGCCCTTGTACTTGAGCACGCAGCAGGATCGACCGACCTCCTGACCTGCGCCCAGCATCTCGATGGTGAGTTGGTCCTCTGCCGATGCCTGCAAAGCAGCACCGCCAGCCGACGACTGCGGAACGACGGAAGGCGCCATGATGCAGACAAGATGGCTGTGTGCCCAATGTCGGTCCGAGGGGAAGAGGAGAACGGATGGAGGACGACGGGTGAGAAGAAAGAAATCGGTCCAAAGTGCAGATACTCAGCTGCCTGTGCTCTGCGGGGACCCTGCTGAAGGGACATCGGGGCTGAATTGCCCGATCATGAGCTTCTCCACTTTGAGCCACGCCAAACGCGCTCGGCGTGCCAGGGCCACCCAAAAAAGCAACACAGACCGCACTCTCGCCATTGGAGCAGAAGACCAACACCCAGCCTTGCCGTTGCTTTTCATCACCATCACCGTCTCTCATCAGCCCAATTCCTGCAGACGATCGGTACTCCCCGACCAAATCGATGCATATGCTTACGCTCTGATCCGATTCCGTCCATCGATCTGCTCAGGCGCTCATCAAGTCTGAGGGACGGCTCAGTGCTCGATCAATCAACCCGTGGCAGCTATGGCATCGCCTGTCCGCACCCCGGACCTCGCAAAGGCACATCCTTTGTTCTCAGGCGAATCGCCCACAAAGTCTCCCGGTCCTTCGTCCCTTGTCAATCGCCCGATATGGGGTCAGCGCAAAGCCGCTCAAGTCGATTACAGTGCAGATGCACCATCAGCCCTTCAGCGTCGTTCGGTCAGCCGCAACCCTTCATTTCATGACAGCACCTCGGCGACCCCGAGTTCAAACAGCCTGCGGCCTGTCCCGGCTGATGGCGATGTCTTTGCCTCGCGAAGCTCAACATCGTCTACTTTGCCAGCCTCATGCGACGCAGACACCTCGCACACCACATCCTACATTCCACGCACCAGTCGCGTCAGCAGCTACGATCTGCAGTTCGACGATGCCGACGAGCCCGACATCCCCAACGATTCGCTCTTCGGAGCTCCGGAGCCTTCTTCCCCACGCCTCTTTGATCGCGAGCTCAAGGCACCCAGGGCGACGCGGCCCGCCACCGTCTATCATGCGATCCCTCAGCAAGTCTCTCCGGATCAGACACCCATGCCCAAGCACCAGTCTCACCGACCTTCATCTCGCTCAGGCTTAAGAGATGGGGCCATTTCGCCTTCACATGGCCGCATCAGGCGCAGCCCTGCCCCAAGCACGTCTCGCTCTGGCGTCAGTCCAGCAAATGCTGGCAGTCGTGTCAACGAGCTTGCGCGCGAGCTCGAGTTTCCTGTCGACTGGCTCCAGCAGCTCCATCGCCTCGCCGATGCTGACCTGGAAGCAGCCCTCGCAGGTCCGCTTGCGCATCGTCCGCTCACCAATCAGCAGCCACGCGAGTCCACACCCGTCAAGTCGTCCGCATCCGCAGAGCGTCGTAATGATGCCAGGTCCCTCCCGTACCATCTTCAGCTTACCAAGGCTCTGTCGCGAGCCCTGGCTGAAGCCAACAAGCAGCTCGACCAGCTTCGCATCAGCGCCGCCGAGGAGCGTGCCCAACATGAACAGACGCTTGAGAATACCCAGCAGCGCACAGAGTCTCGCGAGGCCGCCTTCACTGCACTCTGCCTTGACCACGGCATCAAGCAGGGCGAGATCGACCGCAGCCTCTTGCGTGCCCCTGTCCTCGATGCCGAAGTGCTCAAACGAAGGCGTCTTGCCGAGCAACAGCGCAACCTCGCTCAAGAGGCTGCGAGCGCACAGGCACCGTCCAAGCCGGCAGACATGGCCCTCCCCGACTCGCTTCAAGAGGCCATGCTTGAGGACCTCGAGGGAGTCGCCAATACCTCCCAGCGCCCGCGCTCCCCTTCGCTCAAGCCGTCAAGCATACACAGCGCAATTGATGCATCCCCGTCCAACCGTCGAAGCCCATCTCTCCGCTCGCACGTCTCTACGACGTCTACCGACGGTGCCAATCCGCAACGGCAACGAGGAAAGTCGCTGTCTCTCTCGATTTCCTCGGCTCGTGACAAAGATGTGGACCAAGTTAGCATCAAATCGTCAGCGGGTGTGACTGCAGACAGCTTGGGCACTAGCCCGATCCTTCGCCAACATCCTAGTGCACTCAGAGGCTCGCCGCAACGCTCCGCATCTCCGCACTCGCTCCACAAGCCAAAATCACCGCATGTCGCTTCCCCACGCGCTCGATCCACATCTTCTAGCACCTCGGTCGGCGGCGGCCTCGGTGACTGGGCCAGCGGCCTTTTGCCCTGGTCCGGCGGCGGCGCCTCGCGCAAAGCGGCTCCCAGCACTGCTCAAAGCATGGTCAAGGCAACCAGTCCGGGCCGACGCGAGATGGCGCAGTCCGCAGCCGCCAGCGCCGCGGACGCCAAGCGCTCCGTCAGTGCGTCCAAAGGTTCCAAGGCAGCTTCGTCTTCCACCTTTGCCCGCGCATTCGGTCGATACACACGCTCGTCGCCAACACCGGAGCCGGCACCAGCTGTGCCCCAGCCCAATGTCACCCGACTTCCAGACACGTATCAGTTCGACCGCCGTGGCGGCGGCGACCCTACCGAATTCCTGTCAGCAGCAGGAGGCAGCGCGGTGCTCGGGGCACCTTCACCCCGCCCACCGAGTGCGGCCGTGGAGCTCGAGCCGATTTTACCCAACGACGCCGCGCCTCCCACCCTGATCCGCCGCAGGAAAAAGGGCCGCAAGAGCGGCTCCTCCAGTGTGGCGGGCCTTGGGATCACTTCCAGCACAAGCGAAGATCTGTCTGACAAGCTGAATGGGAAGGATGCTGCGGCAGCTGGAAAGGTGGTCGCTTCCAGAGCCACGCAATCTTCTGCCGACGCAGCACCGAGCCCAGCCAGGAGGAACCGCGCCGCTCGCCTTAGCACTCTCAACGAAGAGGACAGCTCGGGCGACGAGTTTGAGGTGTACGGCGGCAAGGCGCCTGTGCCTGGCTTCGCAGCTTCCGGGCTGGAGGCAAAGCCGGCCGACGAGGATACCTCGGTCATCATCCGACCTGCAGCCGGCGACGAGTCGGACGCCGACAGTGAGATGGAAGAAGAATTCGAGCTGCTCACCGACCGGTACGGCTTCATCTACAACCCTACCGATGCCGACATCCGTCTCTTGCGTCAAGCGCGCAAGGCTTCTGCGCCCGCGCCGGCCACGCTGACAGGAATCAAAGTCGGCATTCGTGCACGTGGCGGCACCGACAGCCAGAGCGAAGATGACAAGAACGATCCAGACCTCGACATGGAGGACTCGGACGAGGACGACGATGCACGACTCGCCCATCCGATCGACGCTCAGAACGGTACCGGAGTCGAGGATCAAACATCTTCGCAGAACAAGGCGCTCTCCGCCACAGACACAGCAGGATCAGGCACCGAGGGCACAGCATCTGACGGTGGTGGCTCAACGGACAGCACCGGCGCGAAGTCTCGCGACAAACGGCGCAGCCAGCTTCTGAGCGTGGTCGACAGCAAGCCGGTGCGCGCCGAAGTGCTGCCCGTCAGCGCCGTCTCGCAGCCGGTGCGCTCGGCTTCTCCGACGAAGCGGCGGGGGACACGCTCGGCCGCCTCGTCTCGGTCGAGCAGCCCGGTGAAGGGGCAAGCTCCTGGCTTTGGCACACCGCGCGCAGGCCTGCCGTCGATCTCCAACACGGTGCGACGGCTGTTGACGCAGCTCAAGGACATGCACGATACGCAGCAGGTGGAGCAAAAGCAGCGGTGGGATGGCTTCCTCGAGCGCCGGCGAGCACGGCTCAAGCCGAGCTCGAGCGAGGCCAACGGGCTTGGCGGTGCGGCCATCAGTAACGCGGTCGGAGGCGTCGCGGTAGCCAAGTCGAGCTCGACGTCCAAGACCAAGGCGCTGTTCGCAGGGGGCCTGTTTGGGGCCGCGCACGCCGACGGCTCGGAAGCGGCCGGGTTGGCGGAGAAGGCGCCCGAGGAGGACTGGTCGTCGGGCATGGTGGGCGTGAGCCGCATGGGCGACTCCAAGAGCGGCAAGGAGGACTGGCGCGACTTTTTGGCGCTGTGCCAGGCGGGCATCCCGCTGTGCTACCGCGCGCGCATCTGGGCCGAGTGCAGCGGAGCCAACGACCTCGCCGAGCCCGGGCGCTACCAGGAGCTGCTGTCCGAGCACCAGGGCGAGACCAACGAGTGTCTGACGCAGATTGATTTGGACGTGCACCGCACGATGCCGACCAATATCTACTTCGGCGGCGATGGGCAGGGGGTGGCCAAGCTGAGGCGGCTGCTGGTGGCGTTTAGCTGGTACAAGCCGAGCACGGGCTACTGTCAGGGGATGAACAATCTGGCGGCGACGCTATTGCTGACGCACGCGACGGAGGAGGAGGCGTTTTGGGTGCTGGTGTGCCTGATCGAAAAGATCCTGCCCAGCGAGTACTATACGTCGCATCTTCTCGTGTCGCAGGCGGATCAGCGGGTGCTTATCGAGCTTGTGCGCGAACACATGCCCGCACTGCATGCGCACATTGACGAGCTGGGCGTCGACCTACCCGCGATTACGTTTGCGTGGTTCTTGTCGCTGTATACCGACTGTCTTCCGGTCGAGACGCTGTTTCGCGTGTGGGACGTCATGTTTGTCGAAGGCATGGTGATCCTCTTCCGCGTGGCCATGGCGATCCTCAAGCTGCACGAACGCGAGCTGCTCGCCACCTCGTCGGCTTCGTCGTTCTATGGACTCGCACACTCGCTCACCTCGCGCCTGTTTAGTGTCGACAAGCTCATCCACCTCGCATGCACCGAACTCAAGTCCACCATCCGCTACGCCAACATCCTCGAAAAACGCGAACGGCACGTCGCCGATCTCACCTCGGAACTCGGTCTCGACCTCACCACCAATGCCTAGCCTTCGTCAGCCCACGAATATCAGCGTCTTTCATGGCAAGGAAATTCGATTCCGATCCGGGCGGGTTTCAGTTGAGAGGAAGGATGTGCGGGAGAGGACCCTGGGGGACGATGCGGTTGGGGTTGATGTTGATGTGGCTCTGGAAGTAGTGAGCCTTGATGCTGTCAAAGTCGGTGGTGTCTTTGAAGGCGGGGTTGTTCCAGTAGAGGTTCTGCATCCACTTGTTGATGTGCGGGTATCCGTCGCGGATGGTGCGCAGGTTGCACTTGAAGTGCGTAAAGTAGACGGGGTCGAAGCGGACGATGGTGGTGTAGAGGCGGATGTCGGCCTCGGTGAGCGTGTCGGCGTAGAGATAGGTGCGGCCGTCGGCGAGCATCTTTTCCACACGGTCGAGCGAGTCGAAGAGCGGGCCTACGTTGGACTCGTACGCCTCCTGCGTGGTGGCAAAGCCGCACTTGTACACGCCATTGTTGATGTTGGGATACACCCACTCGTGGAAGGCGTCGATCTCGCTGCGCGATGCCTCGGGGTAGAACGTCTTGCCGCGGAACTCCTGTGGGATGAGCTCGTCAAAGGCGTAGTTGAGGTTGCGGATCACCTCGGACGACTCGTTGTTGACAATCGTGTTGAGCTTGGCGTCCCAGATGACGGGCACGGTGCAGCGCTGCGAGTACTCGGGATCGGCGATCTTGTAGAGCTCGCGGATGCGCTTCTTGTCCTCGTGGCCGGGGATGTGGTTCCCCGTACCGGGCACACCGAGCCCCTTGGGCTCGTCGTAGGGGACGAAGCTCCAGCCCTCGTCGCCGAGGAGCGAGTCGACGACATGGACGGGCAGCAGGTCAGGCACCTGGTCGATACCCTTGAGCTTGCGTACGATCAGTGCGCGGTGCGCCCAGGGGCATGCGAGCGCGACAACGAGGTGGTAGCGTCCCACCTCGGGCTGGTGCTTGCCGTCCTTCTCGATGCTCGAGCGGAAGCTGGACTCCTGGCGACGGAAGTGGCCGTCCTTGTTGGACCACTTGGAAAAGCCGTCCTTGTGTGCGTTATCGTCCGACATGCTGACAGACGTGCTGAATGGGCGAATGCGGGGTTCAAATCGGGATTTGCGGTTGCTCGACTGGATGCAGACGCGAGGCGATGGACGCAGCGAACAGGCAGCGATGGATGCGAAGAAGCGGAACGAAGATGGCGCCTTGAAAACGGCGGTCCTCAGTGGTGAAGCGGCGGCGAGAATGGTGGGCAACTGCGGCACGGGTTTGTGGCTTACAGTCGTGGATGCAGAGAAGCGCAAACGGCAAAGCTGGGTGGAGTCGGCTCTTTATACGAGTGCCGAGCGGTCCATCCGAAAGTGACCTCCAGGGCATCCTGCGAGAGTGGAGGTTGTCATTGCTCTCTGCTGACAGCACAGTGTCCGTGCGCCCGACTTTTCTTGGCTGGATGCGGACGCACGGACTCGAGAAGCGCCTTGTCTCCGTGTTCCGCGCTCGCTTGCCTCCGAAGCCGAGGCGTAAAATCCGAGAATGCGCGCGTCTGCTGCTGACTGCAAACATCTCTTGGCGATTCGGATTTAACACGCTCGCAGATTTTCCTTATGTCCACGCAGCGTCGCAGCTGAACGACACTGGACTGAACGGAGCTGCAGTGCAAACCTTTCTGATGCCATTGTCAAAGGACGCGGAATGTGAGAGATGTACAACGGAAACATGACGCGCTTAGTGTCGGCGCACATTGAAGAACTCGTCCGGGTGCTGGAGGGCGGCGACGGCGCGTCGCTGATGGGTGGTGAGGAAGGTGAGTCCCACCTGGAAGCTCGAGTTCATCCAGCCAAAGCCCTCACGTGGCACACACTTGAAGTCGATGCCCTGGTTGCCGTACTCGGCATCGACCATGTGCGAGAGGTTGACCGCGTCGAACTTTTCGGGCACGGTGCCGTTGAAGTCGACAAAGGCGACGGTCATCATGTAGAGCCATCGGTAGGCGAGGCGCCTGGCCTCCTCGAGGTAGCCGTAGCGCTCCAGACCCACCCAGGCGAGCACGTTGTGGGGTGGCCAGGCGTACGGCCAGTCCCACTGTCGGTTGGGGCGGTCGAGGCTGATCTTGCCGCGCGAGTCTTCGGTGCCGGAGACGAGACCGCCCTGCTCCTCGAAGCGCTTGAGCGACTTTTGCACCAGCTTGGCCGCCTGGTCCTCGCTCGCCATGCCTGCCCACATGGCCCAGAAGGAGGTGACGCTCTCGTATACGATGGGCTCCTCCAGCCTCGTGTCGTAGTCAAAGTAGAGCCCCATGCCGTCGTTCCAGAGGTACTTGTCCACCTGCGCCTTGCGGTGCGCCGCGCGCGCAAACCACTCGGCGCTCGTCTGGGGCGTCTCGGTGGAACGCGACGGCTGCGCCGGTCCCGAACCGCCGTTGAGCAGCGAAGGCGGCAGCGGNCTCGGCGCTCGTCTGGGGCGTCTCGGTGGAACGCGACGGCTGCGCCGGTCCCGAACCGCCGTTGAGCAGCGAAGGCGGCAGCGGACCGTGCAGCAGGAAGTCGTCCTCAAGCTCGAGGCGGTCGTCAAACACCTCGCGGATGGCCGTGGCAATGTCCACCTCGTACTTGTACAGCAGCGCGTTGAGGTCGATGGTGGCCAGGTCGGCACACTTTCGCTCGAAGCGGTAGGTGGTGTCGTGGCCCGACTCGCGCACGGCGCGGTCGTGCATAAAGTAGGTGTCCAGCTCGGGCTCCTTGATCTCGCCGTGGTTGTACTTGCGCGTGAACTCGTTGACGCTCACGCCGTGCTTCTCGGCGTAGGGGCGGAGGATGTGGGTGAAGTGCGACGCCTCGGTCTCGGGCGGCACGCCGAGGCCCTCGGGACGGTAGCGGCTGAGCCAGGTCTTGTGGTCGAAGCGCGGCTTGCTCATCCAGACGGTGTGGTACTCCTTGATGGCGGCCTGGATGGCCTTGCGCAGCCACTCCTTGTTGTCTGCCTCGTTAGCCGGGTCGAGACGCGAGTAGACCTGGAGCGCCATGTCGGTGAGGAAAGGCGGCTGGGCACGCATGAGATAGTAGGTGCGGTTGCCGTTGAGGATCTTGCCGTAGTGCTTGATCTCAAAGATAAAGTGGTCCACGGTGCCCTTGGCGAGGTCCACCATGTTGTCCACGACGAGGCCGAGCGAGATGAAGTAGCTGTCCCAGTTGTAGAGCTCGTTGAATCGGGCGCCGGGCACGACAAAGGGGATCCCCTTGAGGCCGCGCTTCTCGCCGGTGGTGGGGTCGATGTCGTCGCGCATGGCGAGCGCGAGCAGGCCGGGCTTGTCGTTGAGGTCGCGCGTGTATTCGGCGGTGATGTTGTGCGGGAGCGCCTCTACGGTGAGGTTGAGCGCAGGGCGTTCCTCGGCGACCTTTTGGTAGTAGCGAAGCATCTCGGTCTCGGAGGCGGGGACGTAGATGCGCGGGTTCTGGGATTTGCTGCGGTTCTTGGGGTCGGAGAGGATGGCGTCGAGGCCGTCGCCGTCGATGCGGCGCGTGAGGTTGTGCCAGAAGGTCTGGCTGATCATGCGCGAGAGGCGGTCGACGGGGTTTTCGGTGAGGCGCGACTCGTCGAGGACGATGCGTTTGCGGCCGTGCTCGCGGGCGAGGGCGAGTTCCTGGAGGAGGTTGGAGAGCATGTAGGTGCCGCGAATGTCGAAGCCCTTGTAGCCGTTGCTGGTGGCGGTGCCGAGGGTGAGCACTTTGGGCCCGCTGTCGGTGATGCAGATCTGGAAGTTGCCGTCGGTGTCCTCCTGCTCGAGCACGAGGCGCATGGTCTCTTCGACGTCGACGATAAAGCGACGCGGCGCTTCCTGGACGGCGTCGTGGCTCATTCGACGCGAGAGGATGACAGGGTCGTCGTTCATCTTTTGTGGGCGGCGCTTCTGCTGACCCATGCTGTAGGTGCGCACGACGCCGCGTGCGCGCTGTAAGACGCGCTGCTTGTCTTCATCGACGCCGTTCTCGGGGAGGTTGGCGAGGTTAGAGGACTTTCCGAGGCTTCCGGAGAGGAGCGTGGCCGAGTCCTGGTCCTCTCCGTACGCCTTGTCCGCATCAGGGAGATCGCCTCGGTGCGGGGTGAATCGTGGGCCTCCGACGGGTTCGAAGGCGACGGGGCGTGGGTTGGGGTCGGCCCTGGGAGTGAGCGCGCCGTTGCTGCCGCTTGCGGCTGCGGGAGCGGCATTGGCGCTGGCATTGGCGGCGTCACGGAAGGCGGGGAGGTCGAAGCTGTCGCTCGAATTGGAGACGGCGCTGTTGCTCATGCTGAGCTTGCGCATGTGACGGGCGAGGGAGCGGAGCTGGTCGCGCTCGTCGACTGAGACCTCGCGGTCGTCGTCGTAGTAGCCCGGTGCATCCTGGTTCTTTGTAAAGGGGTTGGAGGTGGATCGAGGCAGGCCTGGCTGCTGCTGCTGCTGGTCTCCGGCGGACATGATGAGGCCCTTGGCACGAAGAGACAGAGCGGGAGGGGAGGCAGAGAGATGGGGTGTCTGTCTAGACTTGTTGGGGTGACGAAGGCGGATGATCCGAAAAGAAGGAGGAGGAGGAGGAAGGATGGTCGTAGTTGCTCGAGGTGAGCGAGCCCGTCAATCCATGATAAGGCGGCGGTCCAGCAACCGTGCGCGAGCCAAGCTCCACCAAGCAACGAGCTTTTTCCGCACCAGCTGCATTGCTCACTCTGCATCCAAGGGTGGCGCGCGCAGCCGAGTTACAGAGCCTCTGCGTTTGGGCCAAGTCGCCGTTCCCGCTTGACTGCACTTTGACGCAGTGCAGCGGCTCGGCACAAAATTCGAGAGTGCGGGGTGGCCGAGTTGCGAGTTCCACTCCACTGCACTCACGGCGACGTTTTTTTTTTGCCAGATCGACCGAACTTTCGCCGGGCTCAGCAACTCGACTTTCGGCGTGTTTGCACCGGTTGACCCCCACACGTCTGTCTGCGAGCTGTGTGCGGCCGCATCTGCGGGCATGCCTCGGCCGACCTCCCCGCCCCCCG